CCCAGATGTCATCCTCAAAGCCAGGAGTATATATTCCACTAGTTTCAAAAATGAGTCAGATTCTAAATAGTCAACTCAAAGCAGAACTGCAGAATAGACGTTTTCTTTCCATTTTCAGGCTCCTGGGAAGTCAGTGCAGTAGCTGTAGGGCACTACTTGTAGAGAGAAGTGTGCGCTGAAGACTGGGTGGCTGGGCAGAGGCCAGGACAGAAGTCTGTTTTCAGGAAGCCGTATTTTTTTTGACGTTCAGGTACAAATAGTTCTGAGCAGTATCAGTATCCCAAATGCCATCTCGAAGCGCAGTTAATTCATGCTGGTTATAGCAACTATATTTGAAGCAGGCTTTTTCATGATTTGAAAAATGCCAGAGGGGAAAACTCAGAAAATTTGTAATATTTATTTGCCATCTGAGAGAATAATGCCGTTCAGCATAATGGCTCTGCAGGTGTTCTAACGGGCTACATGAGCCTCAAAAGAGGAGGCGGACCTGGTGGTGATAGATCATGTGACGTTACTGTAGACATCATGATTGACCGTCAGCATTCTCAGTTGCCAAATTCAGGTTCTCTCTAAAGGTTGTATTTGGGGAACTTGAGAAGTCTGTTACTTATATGGTGGGCGTTTTATTTTGAGCCACCCATCCAACCATAGACAATTGCTCTTCCTGTGGTTTCCAGGATGCTCAGCAAGTCAGGTGACGTGTGTCACCACACTAGGAGCAGGGGAGCATCAGTATGTTCTAGTAAATACTAAACTTTTAAAAGATTAATACTGTCATAACATACATTTGGGGGCATTTAGTTCATTATATTTAGTTGTACCACAGGCTTTAATAACACTGAACTTATCTATTCTTGGAGGTATATAATCTTTGGAGGAGATCTCTGTGTTTTTAAACTTTTGCCTCCTTGTTTAGTGGATATTAATAACCAAAGGTGGGTAAGTTGCCTGATGTCCTGAGATGGAAAGTGCTTCACCTGGAACTCAGGTGCTCACTGAAACACCTTGAACACATTGACTACCAGGTGAGTTGTGTTTAACTTACACTAGTTTGGATCCCAGGGCCTCGTGATGCATATATAATGCACGCAACACTTGACCTACATTGACCTAATAAAACCCCGTGGCCCCAAGGAAAAATTTTGTTTTCTAGTGTGGCAGTCAATGTGTTAAATTACACTTCTCTCTCACTATCTAAACTTGGCCATCTCCTTCCTGTTTTATGAAAAATTTCATTGCAGGTTATATCATTATATTATTGAAAATTTAGGTAATAAAGAAGAAAAAAACTATTGCTATAATGTTGCATTATTTTCATCTTTTTTCTTTCTGTATCTCTTTAAGGGGATGTATATGTGTGTGTATGTGTGTGTGTGTGTGTGTATGTGTGTGTGTGTGTATGGACTCTTTCTGTTCCAAGAGCCAAGACCCTAATCCTAAGAGGTGAAAGCAAAGGGGAATGGATTGTAAGGACTGGGCTGTCCCTGAGCCCAGAGACTGGTCCGAGGAGCAGGGGAGCCGGGCCGTGCACTCCCTGCCTTTCAGCCGTGTTTCTCCCCAGGCTTCTGTCTGGGTCCTTCTCATCCAGCTTTTTCCACATGACAGAAAACAGAGAACTTTCCCAAGTTTTTCACTTTCGCCACCCAGAGAGTTCAACTTAATTCTCTTGTGGATCTCAAGACCTCTTGCACAAGATGGTTATTCCTGTTTCATGGGTGGAGAGGGCTCTGCAGAAATTTCAACTTCCTGGCTCTCAGATATGCCTACATCACTCCCTCCCCCCCCCTTTTTTTTTTTTTGGAGACAGAGTCTCACTTTTTCACCTCAGTAGTGTGCCCTGGCATGGCAGCTCACAGCAACTTCAAACTCTTAGGCTTAAGTGATCCTTTTGCCTCAGCCTCCTGAGTAGCTGGGACTATAAGCCCCCCACCACCGCAATGCCTGGCTAGTTTTAGAGACCAGGTCTCCTTCTGGCTCAGACTGGTCTCGAACTCCTGAGCTTAGGCAACCCACCTGCCTAGGACTCACACAGTACTAGGATTACAGGTGTGAGCCACCATGTCCGCCCCCCCCTTTCTATTTAGTCATTCTCCATCTGTCCCCATCTGACACAGTCCAACCATCCCAACCAAGCTGCAAATCCATTCCCCCTCCTCAGTGGGAGATAGTCCCATCTGATTAGCTGTATAGCCTCCAGTGGCCTTGTCTTGGGGGCCACTGTTCTTTAGGCCCAGGTGCTCTGGGACATGCCTGGTCCTCTGGTTCGGATGAGAGTAGGTCCAGATGTGGCTTGTCACCATTTGGACCTTATAGGCCAAAATAATTTTAACCACTCCCTAAACAATGACGTTGGATTCTGGGTTGGTCAGGCACCACCTTGCAGGCCCCCATTTGCCCAGTCAGTTTATACTCAGAGACTAATTTCCTAGTTCTGAAGGTGGGATTAAAAGAAGACATATCTGGAATTGGAATGTTCCTAACACAAAGAAATGATAAATGCTTGAGGAAATGGATACCCCAGTTCCCCGGATTTGATTAATCTCCATTGTATGCCTGTATCACAACCTCTCATGACCCTATAAAGACATATAGCTAATATGTACCTATAGTAATTTTTTAAAAACATACTCCCTCCCCCCAAAGAAAAATCTGCCATGGTAAAAACATAAAGCATTTCTGAGGGAAAAAAAGAAGATTCCTCTTCCTCAGACTTAAGGCTTTGCACAGAGAACAGATTGAGCAGTGGCAAAAAGGCTTGAGATAGCTTCTCCCACTCCCGGGCAGAGCAGAGGGCTCCACCTTTCCCTGGCCAGGGCAGGCCAGGCACACCCAAGAGATGAGCAAGGTGCTGGCAGCTGCTTTGCCCACCAGTGGGTCTCCGCCATGGAAGAGAAATGCAGGGGCGGGGCTTTTTGTCCTGCCACCCCAGGCTGCCTTGGAGAGAGTGGGACCTTCCCTTTGAAAGGATTAACTAGGCATCCTGGCTCTGACTGAAAGTGACAGCCATCCCAGAAGTTGAGAATACGTAAGTAAGACCCTGTCCTTTCTCATGTAATGCCAAAAGCCACCCATACTCCTTTATTTTAAAAATAGCATTTGTGCTGGTTGGCTCCTGTGGCTCAGTGGGTAGACCACCAGCCCCTTATACCAAGGGTGGCAGGTTCAAGCCCAGCCCAGGCCAAACTGCAACAAAAAAATAGCTGGGCATTGTGGCGGGCACCTATAGTCCCAGGTACTCGGGAGGCTGAGGCAAGAGAATCACCGAAACCCAGGAGTTGGAGATTGCTGTGAGCTGTGTGATGCCACAGCACTCTACCGAGGACAATAAAGTGCCTCTAAAATATATATATATATATATGTGTGTGTGTGTGTGTGTGTGTGTGTGTGTATGTATAGCATTTGTGCCTAAATTCAAACCGTTGCAGTATAAGCAAGTTGCATTTGCCTGTTTTTAATTGAAGACCCTTGGGAACCAGCTCATTTGCAAAATAGAATAGTGATAAAAGAAGAGAATATCTCATTACAAGAGTGATATAGCTGAATGGACTTACGCCTCAAAAAGGGAAACCTTACCAGCTGTCATAATCCACTTGCACATGTGTGTGCGTGCACACACTCACACCTGCCATGGAAACCATGTGGATGAGGGCTCAGGAGCAAAGCCAGATAACAGGCAGAAAAATCTGTCCTGTATAATTATAACACAGTGTACACCAAATTTTGCATTCTCTATTTTTCAATTGATAATGTAGGTAAACATTTCTCCAGGTTGTAGATTTTTTCAAGTGTTATTTTAATGATTATATAATATTCCATTGAGCATCTATGTCTTAACTGATGTATCCATTTAGATATTACTAGAAATTTGGTTCTTTCTAGTATTTTTTGTGTTTGCAAATGAGATGTAACGAGTATCATTATGTACAGAGCTTTTTCCAGATCTGGAATTATTTCTTTAGGGTATAGACGTGGAATTACAGAATCAAAAACTATGAGCACATTGATGCTTTCCGGAAAGATTATACTAACTTATAATTGTCAATGCTACTAGCAATGGATGAGAAAGTTAATCCTATAGCCTTTGGCTATTTTCTTTAAAATGTTTTCCTTTTTTAAATTCATTGAGTAAAAAGGTACATTTGAGTTTAAATTGTATTTTTATTCTAAGTGGGCAAAAGTTTGGGGTTTTATTTTTTTTTCATTTTCTTTGATAACTTGTCTTTATTAGAATCTTATGACTGTCTCTAAACTCTCTATTGAAAGTTCTTTTTCCCATTTTGCTTTAAAATGTCCCCGTAAGTATTTGCTTTTTTTGAAACAAGCTGGAATACAGTGGCACGATGATCGCTCATGGCAGCCTGGAATTTCTAGGCTCTTCCTCCTGCCTCAGCCTCCCCAAGTAGCTAGCAGAGCAGGTGTGTTGCCACTGTGCCTAGTTAATTTTTTTTTTACTTTTTTGTAGAGATGGGGTCTCACTATGTTGCCCAGGCTGGTCTTGAACTCCTGGCCTCAAGTGATCCTCCTGCCTCAGCTTCCCAAAATGCTGGGAAGGCATGAACCACTGTACCTGGCCTTTTTTCTTTTAAAAATTGTGTGAGTGCATGTGTGTGTTGGCATTTTTCTTATCATAAAGTCTGAGACGACCTGGTTTTAGAGAGCGAAATACACCTGAAAGAAGGCAGGCGGAGAGCTGAGTGTACTTTCCCCCTCTGTTTCGGCGGAGGTTGCCTGTGGATTATTTCAGAATTCCTGTCCTTGTCGTATTAGGGCACGAGCCTGTCTGTCTGCAGGTAGAATTGCTGATTAGAGTAAGGTGACCTGGGCTCTAGTTCTGACTCAGCTGTTGCCTAGACACATGTCCTCGATGGGAAGTTAGGTTTTCCAAATCAGTTTCTTCATCTGTGAGATGGAGGATTTTAGACCATGGCCTTGGGGGTGGGCCCGTGATTATGCGTGCCCAACGTGAAGTAATCATATTGATGGAAAGATTCTTGTTGCAGATTTTTGGAAGTACCAGCACAGTGACGCTTCCTGAGACCCTGTTGTTTGTGTCAACCTTGGATGGAAGTTTGCATGCTGTCAGCAAAAGGACGGGCTCAATCAAATGGACTTTAAAAGAAGGTAATTTGGGCTCAGCGTCTGTGGCTCAAGTGGCTAAGGCGCCAGCCACATACACCT